GCCTTGAGGGGTCAAAGAGCAACTCTTTCCACCCCCTTGGCCTCACAAAGCCCCAGGAGACATTCTCCCCTGAGCCTGGGAGGGGACCAGGATTTCACAGGAGCCAGGGGTGGTCCATCATGAGACCCGACTCCAGCTGAGACGTGTGGGTCCCAGAGCTGCCCTCACGGCCTCTCCTCCCGTCTGCTTCCAGCTCTCTGGGATGATCATTTGTGGAGGGATGCTCGCCATCTGTGCTGTTATCACAGTCTTTGCGACCATAAATGCTTCCATTCAGGTGAGTTGTGGCCCTCCTGAGTGGGTGGAGAGACCCCAGCTAGGTGAACTCTAGAGGGTCTTCAGTGCCTCACTCCCTGCCCAGGGGCTGGAGGGCTCTGGTGGCCCAAGGGCCGAGCACCTGCCTGTCTCCTTTCATCTCATTGTGTTTTTCAGGTGAAGGTGGATGTCAACAATTACTTTGGAGGAGGCAAGCCCTACTCCAAGCCCCCTAGTCGCAAGAAGTGAGATCCAGCATGCAGATCAGAGGACCACCCCCCTTCTCTGCTTTCATAATCTGATTCCTTCCTTTCCACACAAGCTGAGGGCTTGTCTGCTCACACCCTGCACTGCACCCTTCAATTCAGCCTGCTGCATCCTGCTCTTCTTCTGAGAGGCAGAGGGCTTTTCCGTGTATTTTAGCCCCAGGCTCCTCCCTGAGGCGCGTGCTCCTGTGTGCTTGTGCGTGGACATCCTCTCACAGGCTTCTCGCAAACCACCACCTGCACTCCTCTGCCTGGGGTTTATAGGTGAGGAGGAAAATGTCCAGGCGCCCATCTTCTTCTTTCAATCATCCATTCATTAATAAATTTGGATTGAGCATCTGTCCGTTTGAATGTTGTTCTGGCATCAGTGGTAACAGCATAGGGAGAACTGATTTCAGACTATTCAAGGTCGATTCATGGCAGGAAGTGGGTAAACATCATGACCAACATGGTCCTTGACCTCAAGGGACCTCTGGCCTCAAGAACACACAATAGCGCCCACCATGCATATTAGTGAAGTTTTTATTAGTGTAATAAAAGGCCCGAGACAGGCCACCTTTGGAGAAAGAAGAGATCAGCTAATAGTTATGAAGTTTGAAGGGCCTGGCAGCCACATGGGCTCTGCTGTAAGGAGGACATCATGGCAAATGGTGCTGGCAACCATGGGGGCCCTTGTGGAAGACAGTGGTCCCTTCTGGAATTGAAGGGTGCAGTGCAAGGTGAAGTACAGGGGGAGACTTTGCCCTCAGCTTGTCTGGAAAGGAAGGAATCAGATTATGAAAGCAGAGAACGGGGGTGGTCTTCTTTTTGTTGCAGTGAAAGATTCTTCTAGAATCTTTCATTTTGCTGATCTGCATCCTGGATCTCACTTCTTGCGTCTAGAGGACTTGGAGTAGGGCCGGCCTCCTCCAAAGTCATTTCTGACATTCACATTCACCTGAAAACGAAAAACGAAACGCCATGGAGAACCGTGACAGCACCATGGCAGGTCAGAGGGGACACAGAGCGCCAGGCACCATGTGATTCCAAGAACAGAGGCTCCCTTGAAATTGTCCCTTTGCCCCAGGTGGATTTTCAATTCCTGGAATTAAATGGGCCTTAGGAAATCCCAGACACTAAAAGTAGATCTTGATAAAGGAAATATGGGGCACATCATTTCCTAGTTCTAGACCAGCCCTACCTGGATGGTTCTGCAAACCAGGATACGAGTACACTGAGCCCCCCAAGGGGGCCACCTCTCAGGCCATTCTCTGAGGGCTGGGCAACCACGTCCCCTCACCTCTCTCTCCACATCCTTCCTCATTGCTGCCTGAAGGGCTCCATCAGATTCCACACCATCTCCTTCTACAGAACCCTAGCCCTCAGCCCTGACCCCTGACTGTGTTCCCAAAGCCTCCTCCCTGACAGTTTGGACCTAGACTTCACTGAGATTCTGCCAACATGGCTTACCTCTGTAGCGTGGTTCTTGGAGAAAGCACCTGGGGCTTCTCCGGACAGGGGGCACCAGGCATGACCCAATGACTTGCTGAAATCACCATGGGGCTTTGGAACAGGGTTTCTTGTGTGTCCTACCACCTACCTACCAGTGTTCTGTTCCCAGCACCCTCCAGGGAGCCCTCATCAACGTAGAGTGACAGCCACCTGTCCTGTGTATGAGGAGACTCTGGTCTCTCTGCACCTTCCCACAAGCCATCTATCTGCAGGAATCTGGCCCCTCCCCTCCCCTCCAGAACTGCAGAACAGCACACTCAGTGTCTTTGAAAATCTGTGGCCCACTCCACACCTGGGCAGAGAAAGCACAGAGGTAAGGGGGCAGAGATGTCCCCGGGGTCATCAGCCAGCGGGGACCACAGGCGGGACCTGCACCAGGACTCCAGAGGGCAAGTTTCCAACCTTATCTCACTGGCCCTCAACTGGATGTGACCCACCCACCTCTGTCTCCTTAAAGCACCGTCTCCTGGCTCTGCCCGGCTTCCCCAGGGTCCTCTTCATTGTCTCGCATGAGCAAACCTTTCCCCCCCTCGTGCCTCAGGATGCTGCTTCCCCTGGTCTGCTTCTCAGGCACTGGACCTGAGCCCCTCCCGTGGGGCTCCCATGAGAGTCAAATGGGCTAATCAATGTCTGAAGGTGATGCAAAGTCATCCCACCCTGCAGACCCCGAGCCCCAGGCCTCTCCATCCTTCTCTTTGGGATCCCCTAGGAAAGAGCTGAAGCTATTTCCTGGTTGCTTTGCCCACACCTGGAACATTCCGGGGAGCAGGAGGACCTATGATAGTCCAGGACTGGCACCATAAGATTTAGGAGGCAAATCCAGAACACCTCCTGTTCCTATAAATAAAGCTTTATTGAAACACAACCTCTCCATTTGTTCACATGCTGTCCCTTACTGCTCTTGAGCTACAACAGCAGAATTAATATCAAGACAGGGACCACAGAGCCTGTCAAGCTGAAATATTTACTACTGGGCCCTTGCAGAAAAGGTTCTGTAATCCCAGAGATCAATGATGATGATGATGATGAAGCCCCCTTCTTTGTGCACCAGAATCATGATTGTGAGTCACTGTCACTTCCTCACGGTGGGGATGAGCTGGTTAGATGCACCAAACCCCCATCTGCCCTGCCTGCTATGACCAGAGGCTTCCTGGCAAACGTCATGAAGACAGAATCTGTAAGCACACAGTTGTGGTGCAGGGAGTGGCCAGGGATGGTGGAGCCGGACACACTGAATGCCTGAACTGGCTAATGCAGTGCAAACTAGGGGGCAGTTTGGGACGTGGTTTGCGGACAAGATCTCCAGGGATTATGGGTGGATGAAAATGCATCGTGGGATCGGAGCCAGAGGGATAAATTGAAGAGAGCTCACAGGTTTCTGGTTCAAGAAAATTGGGTGACAGTCATTTTCTGAGATGGGGAAAGGCGGGAGTAGGAAGTCGTCAGGAGAAAAGCCAACACTCTAGTGATCTCTCCCTCATGAACTTATAGGAGCACAGAATCTCAGAGGAGGCTAAGAGTTTAGAGAAAATTCAGTCTCATGTCCATTTGAGGCATGGAAATCGTCTACACTTGACCTTGAATTGCCGTATCACATTTCTCAGAAGCCTGTTAGACCTGGAAATTCTTTGGCTCCACCCAGACCCACTGAAGTAGAACCTCCAGGCTGGGTCAGGCAATCTGTCTTTGCACAAGCCTCCCAGCCAATTCTGGAGCACACTCAGGTTGGAGAAGCACTGATCCATTGCATCTTCTCAAATGATTGCTTTATCTCATGTCAGCACCACTCTGGGTTGGATAAGTGTCCCCAAAGGCCCATATGTTAAAGGCTTTGTCCCCAAGGTGGCACTGTTGGGAGGTGGTGGAACCTTTACCAGGGGGGGCCTGGTGAGGGCATCTTAATAACTCCCCACCTCTCAGCAGCTCATCCATCCTGTGAGAGCTAACCCACCCCAAGAGGCCAGCACTAATCCCTTCACAAAGGAAATCATGACCAGTCAGTCACCTCCTGCTAGCCCACCTCTTAGAGGCCCCTGACCTTTCAATACAGTTACCTGGACAGCACGTTTCTAGCATGTGACATTTCAGGTAACAAACTCTTTCCAAATCTGTCCAATAAACACCTGGTAGATGGGCACAATATTCTGGAAAACAAAAGGAAGCAATTAACATTTTTTTACTAGATCCCTGTCCTGTTATTTCTACTCAATGCCGTTCCATCGGAATGATGTCACTTTGCATTCAGACAGTGCAGAGAAGATTTATTTATTCTCTAGCAACAAGGAA